TGCAATAGAATCAGGACTGGTGGGAATTTGGTAAAGGACAACCGAGATAGGTTAATGGTTAGGCCTCTTGCACATGGGAGTTAAAAAAAATGCCACGTTTTTACTAGTCTGAACATAGGTGCATTGTTGCCTATGGAACAGTGCACACAGATCCATAAAGATTAGTAACAGAGCGACGAGTACAGAGCAGTAAAATAAAAACAGAAATTTTTAAGTACATAGGGCATTTGTCCAGCTCTCCTAAACAACTTTCCTCCTGGCAGCAGCATTTTGGCTGCCACTGGACTCTAGAGCAGTGGAGACGTGTTCTCTGGAGTGACCAATCACACTTCTCTGTCTGGCAATCCGATGGACGTGCCTGAGTTTGGCAGTTACTTGCCTGACTTCACTCTGCCAAGTGTAAAGTTTGGTGGAGGGGGGATTATGGTGTGGGGTTGTTTTTCAGGGGTTGGGCTTGGTCCCTTAGTTCCAGTGAAGGAAACTCTTAAGGCTTCAGCATACCAAGAAATTGTGGACAATTTCATGCTCCTAACTTTGTGGGAACAGTTTGCGGATGGCCCCTTCTTGTTCCAACATGACTGCACACCAGTGCACAGAGCAAAGTCCATAAAGACATGGATGAGTGAGTTTGGGATGGAGGAACTTCACTGGCCTACACAGAGTCCTGACCTTGACCTGATAGAACACCTTTGCAATGAATTAGAGCGGAGACTGTGAGCCAGGCCTTCTTGTCCAACATCAGTGCCTGACTTCACAAATGCGCTTCTGGAAGAATGGTCAAACATTCCCATAGACACACTCCTAAATCTTGTGGACAGCCTTCCCAGCTGTTATAAATGCAAAGGGTGGGCCAACTCAATATTGAACCCTACAGACGAAGACTGGGATGCCATTAAAGTCCATGTGCGTGTAAAGGCAGGCGTCCCAATACGTTTGACAATATAGTGTATGTGTGAATGGCTTTCTGAAAAGAAGGTTTGCTCTGCTTCTATAATGAGGAAGTCCTACAGAGGTCGTTGGCTTTAAACTTTGCATGCCTTTGTTTGCTGATTATTTGCAGTTTGAGACTGCTTGGTGAGTGTGCATTGATTGTGGCTGTTCCGTATCATATCATTGTGTTGAATAGGGAGCCATCTATTGCAACTGCCATTGCAATCTATTCTTTTCTGAAACATGAAATAGTAAGTTTCACTCACATCAGTCCAGTTCCAGTTCAGCTTCCAAAAGAACACACCAGTGAAGACCTCTGCCTGTAAGTTCTTTCATTGTGTTTGTCAAAGTCATACATATATCTAGATCGCATCTCAATATATTTAATGTGATTTGTAGGTAGCTGTTTGTAAGAAATGTGTTCATTGTATGCATTTGAGACATGTACAGTATACAAGCATATTGCAACTTCAATTTATGTGATTGTATTGCAGTATCACAGAACTATGCACAGAATAAATTCAGTGTTCGAATGAGACACAACACTGTTTCTGTTAGTTTTGTTAGCTAGGACAGCATATTATCCTTTATTTGGTGGAAGAAGTACAAAAACACGTGAATTTACACAAATAAAGTGTCAAAAATATTCACAAATAAACAATTTACTTATATATCTTCATTATAAAAAATCCCCACCCTCCCATTTCCTCCCCACATTCCAACGTGGACTTAATCAGTGGACTTTATTTTATTATACTATTGTAAGTTACATGATATTTGTTCTTAAATGATTGACTTTTATAGTTACATAGGTAGTCTGGCTGAAAAAAGACAAAAGTCCATCCAGTTCAATCATAAAAAAAAAAAAGTTATAATCCTATACCCACAGTTGATCCAGAAGAAGGCAAAAAAAAAACCCAGCAAATCATGATCCAATTTGCTCCTGTAGGCCCGGACTGGGACATAAAATATGTCCGGGCATTTTAAACTGGGCGTTTGTGGGGGCAGTTGGGGACGGGATGTTCACGTAGTCTGGGTCCTCTGCAATGTGATGTAAAGGGGCACTGTGATATAAAAGGGGACTGCACTGTAAAGGGGCACTGTTTTGATTACAGTGACCCTTTACAGTGCAGTCCCCCTTACATTTCAGTGCCCCTAGCAATCACAGCCCTCCCCCCTCCCCCTCATCACAGTGCCCCTTGCAGTTATGCTTCTCTCTAATCAGAGTTCCCCCTTTTACTCTCTGCCTCCCCTGCACACTTCTACCTTTGGCAATGAGAAATTCCCATATATTCAGCAAAGAGACATCCTAATCCAGCAAAGAGAAATCCCCATCTAGAAAAGAGACATCCCTATATAGCAAAGAGACATCCCAATCCAGCAGAGAGACATACCCACATAGCAAAGAGACAACCCAATCCAGCAAAGAGACAGCCCAATTCAGCAAGGAGACTGTCAGGGAACAAGAAGATCGCTGCAGCACATTAATCTGCGCATGTGCAGGATCCTGACAAGGCATACAGGCAGGCGGGCACTAGGACCCAGGCAAGCCAGTCACCAATGACGGCACCGGCAGGCACTAGGACCCAGGCAAGCCTTTCAGCGCTGGGCGGGCTATTTAAAGAGCACCTCGGTGCTCATTCAGTGCTGACTGGTCTTCAGCTCCCCCCATGTCCTGCTTGTTTCCTGTGCGATTTCCTTTGTTTCTGACCCGGCTTGTTCCTGACCCGACTCTGAGTACTCTCCTGTCCCCCCGGTTCCTGACTTCAGCTCTGTTCCTGACTCTGGCATTTCCTCCTGCCCGACTGTTATGACCCTGGCTATCCTACGACTCCGTTCCAGTCCTGTGTCCTGGCTACATACCTGGCTCTGCTGTGCATCTGGCAATCCACTGTACCTGCCTGGTCTATCTCCACAGTACCCAAATCAGAGGATATCCTGCTTATCAAGGTCATCATCTGCAAGAGCCGCAAGCAAAACCCTGGCGCTCTTGTCCCCCTGGTCCTTAGACGCCCTCTGTTCCAACCTCAGCGGGCTCAGGATTAGTGACACAAGTGAGGCCGACCTCGTCAATTCAGTCTCCCATCAGGTACGTGACAGAGACAGCCCAATCCAGCAATGAGAAATCCCCATAGAGCAAATAGACATCCCTATTCAGCAAAGAGACATGCAAATCCAGCAAAGAAACAGCCCCATCCACCAAAGAGACAGCCCAATCCAGCAAAGAGACAGTCCCATTCAGATAAGAGACATCCCAATCCAGCAAAGAGACATCCCATTCCAGCAAAGAGACAGCTCCATATAGCAAAGAGATGGCCCAGTCCAGCAAAGAGACAGCCCAATCCAGCAAAGAGACAGCTCCATATAGCAAAGAGACAGCCTAATCCAGCAAAGAGACATCCCAATCCAGCAAAGAGGCAGACCAAATCCAGCAAAGAGAAAGCTCCATATAGCAAAGAGACAGCCCGATCTAGTACAGAGACAGCCAAATCTAGCAAAGAACCAGCTCCATATAGCAAGGAGATGGAGCAATCCAGCAAAGAGACAGCCCAATCCAACAAAGAGACAGCTCCATATAGCAAAGAGATGGCCCAATCCAGCAAAGATACAGCTCCATATAGCAAGGAGATGACCCAATCCAGTACAGGGACAGCCCAATCCACCCCCCACTCACACCGCTGCTACAGAGTGGGATGTGTGGCTGAGCTGCACTCACCTTTCTCCCCTGTGCAGTCATCATGGTTAGGTCAGATACCGCCGTGGTCTGATGCAGTGTATTTCCAGCGGCTGGCCTGGGAGGTATGTGTCCCCTGCTAGCAGGTCCTCTTCTGCACTCCGTAGTTTGCCGGAACCAGCCCTGCTGTAGCTATGGCCAAAAAGCGGGAGGTAAGCGGCGGCCGCGCTCTGTGTTAACCCCGCCCAGACCATGGCCGCCACTTACCTCCTGCTGTGCAGCCCAGTCAGCCACAGGCCGCTCTTCCTAGAACACGCGACCCCAGCCCCCCGGGCAAATGCACTTCTTTTCTATCATTATGGGGGGATTTACTGGTGCACACAAAAACTAGTGCGGCTGTGTATAGTAACCAACTTCAGTTTGTTCAATTAATCTTTGACAATAAAACCTAGAAGCGAAGTACAGCTGCAGCAGATTCTGCGTGCACCAGTTTTAATAAATTTCCTCCTATATGCCCTCATTCTTTTAAGTTGAATGACAACTAGCATCATTGAACCCTCTTTCTCTGAGCCCAGACTGTAATGTACCCATTCTCAATATGTGACTGAACAGTGAAGGAGAAGCAGCATAGTGATTATCCTATGTCTCTGTCTCTCTCTGCTCTCTCCTCCTATCAGCATGGTCCTTGCTTGTCCCTCTCTCAGTCTTGGCTCTGCTGTATAGGGACTGCAATAGGCTGATATCAGGTCATATTTAAGTACTTGCACTGCTTGCTTTAAAAAAATACAGTATTGATGTGTTAGTAAGTTTAGACCTTCATAAATGTGTGTCTTTTACATCTGATGTAGAGTACAGTCTTAATCATACATCCAACAAAGGTTTTACAAGAAAACAGTGTTCCTTTACCTTCATTCACCTAGTGTCTTTGGTGAAATGATTTGATTACTTCTTATATCATTCTTAAAAAGAAAACAAGAATCTCAGACCTTACAAATGACTGAGTCTGTTCTTCTTATTAAACCTTTAAATTCCATTTGGAAAAGGGAATGTAGGGATTAGGGCTTAAGTAACTCCATAAAATTATAAGATCAATTTCATCACCCAGTACAAATCCTCAAGTTCATCTAAAACTCGCTAACCCTAAAAAAAAAAAAAGTATTGCAACCTTGTTCTAATCAGAGGAGATGTGTGTTCTGGATGAGGACAGACCAGCTAAGTCCTTGAGCCATCCTTCCCGGCGCATCTGAAAAATTAATTCCTTCTCAGAAATAGTCTCATGTTTCTGCTAAAGAGAGAAAAGCTTTCTGATGTCCAGTGACGGGATTACCAAGTCACCGCTTACGTTAGAAGAAGATTTTTCATTTCTCATCAAGGAAAATCAATTGTTTTAAGTCACTCTCAAAATAATATCTTCTGACAGCACGTGATCTACCGTATATTATTATTATTATATTTTATTTTATCTGCGATAGAGAAAAGGAAAGGAAGTAAAGAGGATCAGAGGTGGTGATGGAATATGATAATCTTGCACACTCACACATCAGTATTTGGCTAAGTAATTCCAGATAAATGGAGGATTTACATATTTAAGATTAAGGGGGGGGGGGGGGGGTGCTAGTGCAAAACACTGCAATAAAATCTCGTAGCAATGTATGCTGTAACAGAGGACAGAATGGTGGGAGAATGGTGCCAGTATGTGTGATACTTGTATATTAAAATAGTAATAGTAAGTTGATTGCAGTTCTACATCTCTGACATGTTCAAAGCTGCATATAATAACACTTGGCATTAAAAAGGTTATTGGGAAAAAAAGGAAACTTAAAGCGGAGTTCCACCTAAAAAAAACATAAAATAAAAGTCATCAGCTACAAAAACTGTAGCTGCTGGTTTTTAAAATATAGAGACTTACCTGTCCCTCGGTCCAGCGGTGTCCTCACCACCGCTGGTTTCACCGGCCGTCTTCTCTTCCTGGCGCCGGCATCTTCAGTGTGGGTGCCCACTGCGCATGCATGAGAAGTGCTGCGCTTTGTGAATGGTCCCGTAGTCTTTTGGGACCTGTCACATGTCCCTGAAGACTACGGGGAGTGAGCGGGGGAGGACAACTTCTGCTTCCGATCGCCTAGGCGATCGCAGCAGAAGTGGGAGCGGGTGCCTGTCAAATTCGGGTACCCGCTCCCCCCCCCTCACTCCCCAAAGGTCCCAATCCTTAATGGGGAGTGGGGGACAAAGGCTTAAAGCGGAACCGTCCCTTTTGGGTGGAGCTTCACTTTAAGTGGAGAAGAGGGAAAAGAGGGTGGTGGTATGCAAGAGAGGGTCACATCTTGAGTATGCCATCCAGTTCTGATCACCAATCCTCAAACAAGATGTGCTGGAACTTGAGAGAGTCCATAGAAGGACAACAAAACTAATCAGGAGGACCTCAATTATGAGGAACGATTACAAACATTGCATTTATTCTCCTTGGAAAAGAGACACTTCAGAGGGGATATGATAGCTATATACAAATATCTTAATGGTGATTCCAACATTGGGAGGAAACTATTCAGTCTGAGGTCACTCGAGAAGACAAGTGGCCACTCAATGAAGTTGGGTGAGAAGCGGTTCAATCCTAAATGGCATAGAAGGTTTTTTACTGTTAGAGCATCAGGGATGTGGAACTCTCTTCCACAACTGGTGGTTTCAGCAGGAAGTGTCACTAATTTAAAAAAACTTTTAGATGGCCATCTTACTGAACACAAAATGCAGGGATATGGGAAGTGGTAGAGACATATACACACACACACATAGGTTGAACTACTGTAGATGGACTGGAGTCTTTACAGTGCCTTGAAGAAGTATTCATACCCCTTGACATTTTTCAAATTTTGTCATGTTACAACTAAAAGTGTAAATGTATTTCATTGGGATTTTATGTGATAGACCAACACAAAGTGGCACGTGACTGTGAAGTGAAAGGAAAATGATTAATGATTTTCAAAATTTTTTACAAATAAATATCTGAAAAGTGTGGCGTGCATTCATAATAAGCCCCCCTGAGTCAATACTTTGTAGAACCACTTTTTGCTGCAATTACAGCTGCAAGTCTTTTTGAGAATGTCTCTACCAGCTTTGCACATCTAGTGAGTAAATTGTTTGCCCATTCTTCTTTGCAAAATAGCTCAAGATCTATCAGATTGGATGGAGAGCGTCTGTGAACAGCAATTTTCAAGTCTTGCCACAGATTCTCAATTGGATTTAGGTCTTTGACTGGACCATTCTAACACATGAATATGCTTTGATCTAATCCATTCCATTGTAGTTCTGGCTGGATGTCGAAGGTTTTTGTCCTGTTGTCCTGCTGGAAGGTGAAGCTCCACCCCAATCTCAAGTCTTTTACAGACTTTAACAGGTTTTCTTCTAAGATTGCCCTGTATTTGGCTCCATCTATCTTCCCATCAGCTCTGACCAGCTTCCCTTGCCTTGCTGAAGCAAAGCATCCCCACAACATGATGCTACCACCACCAGCTTTCACGGTTGGGATGGTGTGTTCAGGGTGTTGTGCAGTGTTAGTTTTCCACCATACATAGCATTTTGCTTTTCGACCAAGAAAGTTAAATTTTATTCTCATCTGACCAGAGCACCTTCTTCCACATGTGTGCTGTGTCACCCACATGGCTTCTCGCAAAATGCAAATGTGACTTCTTATGGCTTTCTTTCAACAATGGCTATCTTCTTGCCACTCTTCCATAAAGGCCAGATTTGTGCAGTGCACGACTAATTGTTGTCCTGTGGACAGATTCTCCCACCTGGATCTCTGCAGCTCCTCCAGAGTTACCCTGGGCCTCTTGGCTGCTTTTCTGATTAATGCTCTCCTTGCCCGGTATGTCAGTTTAGATGGACTGCTATGCCTTGGTAGGTTTGCAGTTGTGACATACTCTTTCCATTTTCGTATGATAGATTGAACAGTGCTCTGTGACATGTTCAAAGCTTTGGATGTTCTTTTATAACCTAACCCTGCTTTAAACGTATCTACAACTTTATCCCTGACCTGTCTGGTGTGTTTCTTGGCCTTCATGATGCTGTTTGTTCACTAATATTCTCTAACAAACCTCTGAGGGCATCACAGAACAGCTCTATTAATACTGAGAATAAATTACATACAAGTGGACTCTAGTTACCAAGTAGGTGACTTCTGAAGGAAATTGGTTCCACTAGATTTTAGTTAGGGGTATCAGAGTAAAAGGGGCTGAATACAAATGCACGCCACACTTTTCACATATTTATTTGTAAAAAATGTTGAAAACCATTTATCATTTTCCTTCCACTTCACAATTGTGTGCCACTTTGTGTTGGTCTATCACATAAAATCCCAACAAAATACATTTACGTTTTTGGTTGTAACATGACAAAATGTGGAAAATTTCAAGGGATATGAGTACTTTTTCAAGGCACTGTATTCAACCATACCAACTACGAAACTGAAAACAGTAGACGTAGGCACCTAATTGTGCTTGATGCAAAGCCTTCCTATTACTTTTTGCTCAGAACAAAGTAGTTTTGATGAGATAAAAAAGTAGATGGAAATTCCCCAACACTGCAAGGTTGGTAGAAACCATGCCGGAACTACAGCAGGGACATCTCACCTCCAGAGACTGAAGACTTGATGTATTCCTGTGGCTTACCACTTGGTATATCATTACTTTTTTGGCTTTTCCTTATTGAAGAGAATAAGTGTGCTTTGACTAAATCGCTGATTTTAAATATGCTGGAAAGTGTCAAAATAAAATTATTTTATTGAACCCTGTAGGTCTTTTTGGTACGTGCCAAAAATCTTTGATTCTGCCAGAAATCTAGTGCTGCCCTGTACCCTCTGTGACATTATCTCAAACAATGTTGTCAGAAAGCTTGCTAAGGAAGGTGCCCTGTGGGTTTGTTACAAGAAATTAAAGGCATCACAGACTGACTTAAGCCTGGTGCACATGATGAGAATATGTGACGAATGATCGTCCGTTTTTTTTTGCATGATTTTCTCATATTGACAATGAAGAGGTTACTAAAGTTACGTAAATTCTCATAAGACAGAAAACAACTTCAGAAGTGATGTAATGTATTGTATTGTAATGTATTCTTTCATTTCCTAGCATGCGCGGTCTTGGTCACTCAGGTTTTTTCATACAAATACTATACTAATTACTTGAAAATCGTTCGTTCTGTTATCTCATGAGAAAAATGTTCCTGCTTGTCCCTTTGGATAATTTTGCATGTGTACTAATAATCAGATTATCAGACGAAAGCTCCAAATGCATATTTTTCATTGGATATTCTCATCGCGTGTACTAGGCTTCAGTCTGATTTTGAGTAGGTTGTACATTTATAGTTGATATATTTTTTTAAGATCTTGATAGAGTAGGGAAGAGTTAAAAACCCCTTTTGGTTTGGTATTTTTTATGTCCGTTTATCGTCGGGAGATCTTGTCCCAAGGATGCAACAAAAAGTGAGAAGTAATGACTGCAAAGTTAGGAGAATTCTCTGCTTAGAGAGTTGTCACCAGAACAAATATCCCCATCGGGCAAATTCCCCTCACCTCTTCTGATGCCAAATGGAAAACTTTAGATTTACTATTACTTTCTTTCTCAGTGACTATGGTCAGGAAGGTAAATAGGGTGAATCTGTACACCGGGGACACAGACAGCAGTAAGGCATCAAAAGCAGAACATATAAAGTTCAGCTTCAATTTTATTCTTATGTCATTGTAGCACTACCCCCTTAGGAGTCGCTACGTTTTTGGGTCCTGCACAGCCAGGCAACACACATCTTCTTCCTCCACACTCTTCCTCCACACTTTCACACTGATACAGTAACCAGTTCTTAGGCTTGTTTTTGTGATTTTATTAAGGGGTATCGAACTTGGATGGGGTTGAGAGATGCATGGGATGCCCAAGGAACTGTGAACTGTGAGGACAAACTATGTACAAATCTATGGACAGGAAGCAAAACCTGTCTCTTCTATGAGAGTATTTATTTATTTCAGGTACTTGTAGCGCCGTCAATTTTGTTTACATATATATTGTACATTCACATCAGTCCCTAACCCTCAAGGGGCGTACAATCTAAGGTCCATAACTCACATTCATACATACACATACTAGGGACAATTTAGACAGGAGCCAATTAACCTACCAGCATGTCTTTGGAGTGTGGGAGGAAACCAGAGTACCCGGAGGAAACCCACGCAGGCACAGGGAGAACATGAAAACTGCAGGCAGGTACTCCTGCTCTCCAGTGTACCTCCTCAGACCCCAGATGAATAATCCTCTTCACCCATCAGTACTAAGGGTATTCCCTGGGCAAGGGGATCCAAAAGCTTATATCTAGGCATAGATGCTGACAATGTAGCGGCTCAACTGTTAACTATATTATATATTTACCACACATCCAGTTCCTTCCTGAACATGTGAACAACAGGCAGTATGTATGTGTGGGTTCTCTTAAGAAATTATGAGGCGGGAACTCCGGGTAGCGCTTAATAGTGACTGACAGCCTGTCCCACCATACGCTTTGAAGAAGTCCCAGAAGTGGACAGGACAAAACGCGTCAGCATGGTGGACAGATTTCCCCCCCTTCCTTCCCTACACAGCATGGCTGCTCAGTGGGTCCTGTTTGGAGACTATCACTCATGACTCGTCATAGTGCATCATTGGCATGCAGCAGGTGTAACTGACCACTCCAGCACATCTATCCATTTGCATAGCTGGCTACTGGAACATAGTAGCGGTTGACTGGCTGGACCTAGGATTATGGACTGTACACAGTGAGTACCAGTGACTGTATGTAGCTCTCAAGGTCATATCAGCTAGGTCATATCAGCTGCACTATACATCCATGCAGGCTGGACTGGAGACACAAGTTGAGGTTGCTGTTTAGGTACAGATTCCGAATTACCAGCTGTACGTAGTCCCGCTTGCTATGTCATGCACACCTAGCATAGCCGCTATTGGGGAAAGCACTGCTGGCCATCAGTTTCTTACAGATACATCATGGACTTAATATACTATTGCTGCTACACTACCAGCTTGGAACTGCAACCATTGTATGTAAGTAGTGTCTTTGATCCAATTATGACACATTCCACATAACTGTTTGCATATATCTGTTGTTCATAGCAGGCCATCCATCCATCCATCTGAGACCTCTGGGTTACAGTGCATCCAGTCATCGTAGTGACTTTACATGTACTTTATATAGTGATTATTCACAACATTTGGACTGTTTCCATTACACTGGGACTTCAGATGATGCATGCCTATTGGTTCATAGTGGGCTTTCAGTTATATGGTGCCTGTGTTTATAGGGTCCACCTGAGACCTTAACCATAGATATTGGCCTTTCAGGATACCACTTGGATTGGTTTTCGGTCCATTGGGCTTGGCTCATGCGCTAATAGGTGAGAGTACCAATCAGAGGAGACTAGTTAGGTGTGGGTGGGTTCTTCAGCTCTTCCCAAGTCTTGGGGGGGAGTTGGCAGGTGTTCCCCTTTAGGGGAGATTTGGTTGGGCCCTGTTCTGGGAGGTGGGCTCCAGGAGGTGGGGGTGTCTGGTTGGAGGTGTTGTGTTTTCTGGGGGGAATCTGGGTGGTTCAGGGGGGCGGGAGTTTGGGCCACTAACCTGTGATGCTTTTGATTATGTTTTTGTAATTTTCAATACATTTTTCTATGAGTAGTAGACATATGGGTGTGTACACCTACTTTCTTCTTTTGGTTTGCATTACATGTATTTTGGCAACGCCCCACCTGATAGTTTTGGTGGCAACTCATTTTTAGTAATACTTAGGTGGGCTCCCAGACCATACCTTTAGTTTCTTTTGTGTAATCCAAAAGCTGCTAAAGAGTAAACAGTCCCAGGCAAGGAGCTAGTTAAGTTCTCCACCTGGCTGCCCTCTCCCCTTATCAGGGGGTGTAAGATTACTCACACAGTGATGAAACAAATCCTCCCACATAAGTTTAACCTGTTTATCTATAGCAACCTGCCCCCTACATCCATTCAAAGTGAAAAATGTACATAGGATCTCTCAGCTATGAAAAGCAGGGGGCTGGGAGCTGAAGTTACACTGTCACCATTTTTCTCTTGGTGTCAAGAAAACTTGTCAGAAGTTATTCATGTTGATAGTACAGGAAGGAAGCAGCAGACAGAAATGACATTTAGTGCTCTTAAATTGTTACTAAACCCAGGACCCTGCATTCGCTATATCTCCCACAGTACACAGAACATGGAAATGCAATTATTTTAGTAAATTTAAACTGCTAAATACCTTTTCTCATCAGCAATTACAGCAGTCTTGTGACTTCTATCAGTGTCCATCTGAGTACTTGTTAAAGCTTGTAGGAGGAGTTTTCATTCTCCTCTGACTGTCATATGAGGGTGCATAACCCCTGACCCTGTGTGGAGAGTGCTGATTGGCCCTGTGCCGATCACATGCACCACCCTAAAGAAAAATAAACTCTATAGCAATACACACTAAACTGAGCATTTGCAGAATGACTCCCAGAACTTTGTACTAATCAGCAGATGGTTTGGGGACTGTAGAAGGGGAGAATCAAAGAAGACAGGATCAAACATCCTTTGTACACAATGCAGAAGATTAACCCCTTAGGTTCCACAGTGAGTATAACAAGCATGCTTTACTGCATATACAGACTGATCTTACTGATATGGGTTTAGTAACACTTTAACACTTTAAGTACACGCTATATAGGGATATGCTTTGTTCAGCTTTCATGTCTGAGGTTTACAACCCCTATAGTGAAAAAAAGACCATGCAACATGTCATCAAAAATGCATTAATAACAATATGAAATTCATACATCTAAAAATAAAATAAAAAAGATGTGGTCTAAATCTTATGTGACAATTCAAATTAAATAATAAAATCAAATTCAATGAATCATTGATACATTTAATTCACAAACATGTCTCTATATAAATAAATCCAAGGACCTTCAATTTATCAATAAAGTCACAGGTGTTCTGTTTTGTTTGGGGGGGGGGGGCAGATTGACTAAAGCTGGAATTTAATGTAGCTGTGCATGATAGCCAATCAGCTTGGTAAATGAAGCTTTGACAATAAAACCTGGAAGCTGATTGGTTTCTATGCAGACTTTGCAATCTCCAGTTTTTGTAAATAAATCCCCTTGTTTTGAATTTCATATTGTTAGTTATGCATTTTTATAAGAATTTTGCACAGTCTTTGTTTCATTAGTTTATTACTTTATTTGCGAGTGCAGTTACAATTTTTTACGTATTAATAGGCAGTGCGTTTGGGGATTCAGAGTCCCTCTTCATCAGGTTTTGTTACAAAAACAAACAAAGTGTGTATGTGATTAATAAATTGGAAGGGGTCCTGAAGGGTGCTTAATAAGGTTTTACTAGCATTTGGTGCGATCATATTATTTACCCCTCAGGATGCCTTTAATTTTATCAGTTTAGTAACCATATTAACCAACAGTATTATTATTATTATTACATCGAGTTTATATAGCGCCAAAGGGTTTGCTCAGTGCTGTACAATAGAGGGGGGGACAATACATGAAACAGTACAGCAACAACAAACAGCACACGAGGGGTTAGAGGGCCCTACTCTTTCGAGCTTACAATCTAGGAGATCAAGCCAAGACACAAAAGTCTTAAAAAATGTTTTTTTTTTTTCAGAATCTGGGCTTTCCTTCTTGCATTGCCAGGAGCAAAAAGCCGACCTTTGGCCATCGGTTTCTACTCAAGCAAAACTCGGCCTTCGGCCATCACTCCTGGGAGGGCTGCCTAAGCAGAATTATTCCCTCTACACTGCTTAGAATCTGACTGAGAACATTTACTACTTAAGATATCCAGTGCCCCACAATGTTCTTTTACTTCCTGAGCAATAAAAAGCTGATAAGTTCATTTTTTTCCCTTCTCTATCTATAGCTTTAAAAAAGGTTGGCTATACATTGGCTGAAAGCCTACACCCAGCTTCAGTCTATAAAGTCCCACAAGAAGTGATACCACTGAAGGCCATTAGCATCTTTTCGTACCTTGCAGAGTCATCGGTGGCTGGGGAATACATAGACAGTACGGCACACAAGCACTTTCATGGCTAAAGCACATAAGTGCCCACTTGACCCTAGCAGTGGTTATACTTCATACGGAGAATTAGCTTCCAATGGTAAGTAACAATCACAGCGCAAAGATGCAGAAAGAGAGCAGATGGAAAAACAGGAGGAAACCAGCTGGAAGTATGTTTGTCTTCAAACTGTTTTTACAGCCTGCACACACATACAGCTCCAGCCTAGCACAGATAAAGATAAAACATAAATATTTAAGGGGCTACCGGTGAAAGAAACAACATGAACTGCACCAAATAATAAAGTGCCTGCAAAATATTAACTGCTGGCACATGCAGAATAATGTATTATGCTGTAATTTGTTTTTTTTAATCATAAAGGACACTGGTCTATGTAGATAGTGGGAAATTATAAAAAAAAAAGAGTAAATACTCAAAGCTACAGAACACCGCTTTGTTCAAAGGAAATCTCCTCCTGAAACCAAGAACCCGACACTTCCAGGAGTGTCGGACCTCTTTTTCCCCTGCTGCACTCAGTAGTTCCTCCTACTGTTTACTTTGCCCCCAATGAAGCAGCTGGAACCAAGATACATGTAGAGCTCTATGCCATCAGTTCCTATGTTATAGTTCACAATTCAGCACTGATATGGGATGCAATACCATTTTGCAGGCTTAGCATTTTTGGCTTTTTCGTTTATTCATTTTTTTTTTTTGACTTTTGCTTTTGGATGTTTTGCACTCATATTTCTTAACATTTCTACCACTGTCCCAATGCTGTCCTTTATGATTCAGCACTGGTCTGGGATATACCACCTTTCTCCTTTTTTTTATGTCAACATAGCTACAGATATATATTGGCAGTTTTTTATGTATTTTAACTGTTGGAACAAAGAATCTGGTATGTTATTTGTTTGTAATCACGTATTGCGATTAGGGCACATTTAAAGTCCCAATTGCTTCAACTAGAGAAAAAATTGATTTAAAGTGTTACTAAACCCAGGACCCTGCATTCACTATATCTGGTCTCCCACAGTACACACGACATAGAAGTGCAATTATTTTAGTAAATATAAACTGCTAAATACCTTTTCTCATCAGCAGTTAGAGCAGTCTTGTGACTTCAGCAGAGCACTGGTTAAAGCTTGTGAGAGGAGTTTTCTTTCTGCTCTGGGTGGATGCAAAACCCCTGACCTCTGTCTGGACAGTGCTGATTGGCCCTGTGCTGATCACATGAACTCTCCCAAGAAAAAAAAAAATCTCTAGCAATACACACTAAACTGAGCATGTGCAGAAGGGCTACGGGTTCAGTCTGTCTTATCAGGAGATAAGACGTGGACATTTGAACAAGAGGCGGGGCAGAGAAAAGAGGATGAAACAGCCTTTTTACACAATGCGGAGGATTAACCCCTTAGGTTCCACAGTGAGAGTATAACAAGCATGCTTTACTGCATATACAGACTGATTTTACTGTGATGGGTTTAGTAACACTTTTTATGCTGTATTATTGATTATAGCGTTGCCTTAATGTGTGTCTTTTTATATCTGCCTAGAGTTCTGCTTTAAGATGTTTTCACTTACAAATAAAAATATAGTAAGCATGAAAGAGCTGTGATAAAATTAGCCTTTTTGCTTTAAACAAAGCTATAAGATTATGTGTATTTGATTGCATTGATAACCCAAAACACAATTGTCTTCCCATTCAGCAATAATGGAATTTGACTGAGATAAAATCTTGAGATCAATAAACGTCATCCTTAAGCACAGGATTCTCACTTCCTCTCTCAAAAAAGCATCTGAATCTAGATCACATCTGTAGCACTCTGACCATAACCACACTGTGGGTGAAACTCATTTGTGTCCAGTAGCGGAACAAATTCTGATCACTTCTTGAGTTACAGTGCTTTTTTTTCACTGGAAAATCAAATTATATATATGCTCTCACATCCGCAGAAATTGAAAAATTGGCAATGAATCACAAGCTGACTTATATTATCCCTACTAGTGATGTATGTATAACGTGTCAATGTGAAATATATCAACTAAATAAACTGTAACTATGGTTTAAAGGGAAATTATAATGGTTTTGGGTGCACGTTATTTTTAATTTCTTTTTAGTTTATGTTTGTAAACTGTTTTATATCTGTTTTTTCACTGTATAGCATACAGTATATAGTTTATATATACTATATAGTGTAGCGCTACCCCCCCCCTTGAGAGACGCTAAATTTTGGCTCCCCCTATTTCCTGCGCATACAGTCAACACGTATTTTCCAACTTTTTTGGAAACCAGTCAATTGGCTTGTTTCGTTGTTTTATTTAGGGGAAACAACTTGGATAGGGTCTAGGGGTATATGGGATGACCAGCTTGACTAGTAGAACAAAAATTTGAGGACAACTTCCTGTTTTCTGTACAAAAATAAAAAGAATGGATCCTGAACGCTACTCCTTCCAGAGTGGCATCAATCTCTTAACGGATCAGTTACCATGTCTCTTTAAGTCTCCTTGGATGAATCTCTTTAGATCCCAGCTGGAAAACTACCCACCCACCTGACTGCCTTGAAGAGTATTCCAGAGCAAGGGATTACAGAACAGACCTCAGCACTGTCCGAGGGAGAACTTGCTGGGTGTTGCACCTGGCAGTCCTCTCCCTTGTACGTAGGCCCTGGGAGCATAGAGGTACTTTGTGTCCTGCCTGTCTTCTGACCAACTTCTGCTGCTGGCTAGGCTCTCCCATATTTAAGGGTTGACCTAGCCACCTTGCCAGCCCTCCTGCCTGGGGATTGGCCAGATGCCCCAAGTATGCTGATCCTGCTTCTTTTCCTCACCCATTAGTTTCTGGAAGTTTTCCAGAACCGGGGGGAGGCGACAGAGGCCTGGTCTGCAGAGCCTCCAGCCGGACCTCATGTTGAACCCACAGTAAATTCAGACTCACACAACTACGAGTCAGTAAATTTACCGCACTCTGTCTAACACTAGAGGGCACTATAATAGTATACTATAGTTTATATATTCATGTTTTAGAGAAACATTTGATACATGGCAAAGGATTTCTACAGAGCCATGGGCTATTTTAACCACTTTACTACCACACTATAGCCCGAATGACGGCTACAGCGCGGTAGTCCAGTTCTGGGAGGGCGTCATATGACGTCCTTCGAGAACACGCCCCCAGTAGCGTGCACTCACTGCTGTCTGTGATTGCTGTGTGTTTTGGACACCGCTGATCACATGACATGGTAAAAGGCCAATCACGGGGGCCTTTTGCCACATGATCAGCTGTGTCCAATCACAGCTGACCACTATGTAAATACACTTGCTGGTTATCAGCAGTATTTGCCTCATGCTGTCACAGCGTGAGGAAAGTACTGTCGGTAACCGGCAACTGTCAAAGCAGACATCAAAAGTGCCCAACAGTGCTGCCCATCAGTGCCCAACAGTGCTGCCTAGAAGTACCACCCACTAGTGCCCAACAGTGCACTGGTGCCAATGTGCCCATCAGTGCCACCATTCAGTGCCGCCTGTCAGTCCTGCCAGCCAGTGCCATCAGTCAGTGCTGCCAGCAGGAGCGTACTGACAACTCGTGGGGAAATGGATCATAGGGCCCCTGTGTCCTTGCCCACACTCAAACCACACCAGGGGTGGACTGACAACTCATGGGGCCCCCGGGCAATAGGGGATCATGGGGCCCCTGTGTCCTTGCCCAAACTCAAAAAAGCCTATGAAAAAGGTACAAGGGGCATCTCATGGGGCCCCCTACTGACCTGGGCCCTCGGGCAGTGCCCGAGTTTCCAAATGGTCAGTCCGCCTCTGAACACACCCAAAAAAGTCTATGAAAGGTACCAGGGACATCTCATGGGGCCCCCTACTGACCCCGGGCCCTCAGGCAGTGCCCGAGTTTCCCAATGGTCAGTCCGCCCCTGGCTGCCAGTGAGTGCCCCCAGTTGGGGCCCTTCAGTGCTACTTATTAGTCCCCTTTAGTGCTGCCTATCAGTGCCCATCAGTGGCGCATATCAGTGCAGCATCATCAGTGCCTCCTCATCAATGGCCACCATATCCACCTAATGTGCTGCCTATCAGTGCCACCTCATCATTGCCCATCCGTTCTGCCTATCAGTGCAGCCTCATTAACTCACATCAATGAAGGAAAAAAATGTATCTGTTTGCAAACTTTTAGAATAGAAACAAAACTTTTTTTCAAAATGTTTCACTCTTTTTTCTTTTATAGTGAAAAGAATAAAACACGAAGTGGTGATTAAATAGCACCAAAAGAAAGCTCTATTTATTTGCATGACCACGTAATTGTCATTGAAAGCGTGTGACAGCACTGAAAGCTGAAAATTGGCGTGGGCAGGAAGGGGGTAAAAGTGCCCAGTAGGCAAGTGGTTAAAAAGCAGAACAGCAGTTCTCACCTGTCTTGAGGCTTGTCTTGAAGCTCTGTGTGATTGAAACCTCAGAGCATGGAATAGAGGGGTAGTCACTTTTATGTGTGTAGAATTTCAGCTTCTAACACTGTGATTGATGAGTTTTTATCTTTAGAGAGAAAGCAAACTAACATGAGTGGTGTGGTAATGACTGGAGAAGTGAAGAGTTGTCTGATTGTGAAGAGTTGATTTCTGATGAGATATTGCCTTGTAGATGGTGTTCAGTGTCTCCCACCTGGAAGGTGTGTAGCATCATTGGCCAGGCTTCTTCTCATGGGTTTTTGAGTTTTCCACCTCTATGCAATTGTGACAAGGAAGAAAAAGTTTCTTGTCATCTGCAGAGTTAATAGTCTAAAGAGAGAATATTCTTGCTTTTGCTACTTATCAGGATAAAAGTGTAAACCTAAAAGGTGACGTTTCAAGAATGTTTTGATGATTGTGGAGGAGACTTTCCAGTAAATCAGTTCATACATTTAATATTCCCAGTTGCGTTGACTCCAGTTTCCTTCAACAACTCGATTACTGCAATTCAACTCCATATGATCTCTGACCTCTCTTTTGCACCTCCACGTCTCTGCTTTCTTCCTGCCACCACCACCACTACCACCACCACCACCACCACCTCTGTACAGGAGTGTTAACAAGAATCACTGACCTCAAACTGAAATTTGAGGGAACTTTCTGCTTCTTTAATGTTTCCCCAGACAGCATTGATAATTGGTTTAACTTTTTGCCTGGAGTTACTCTTTAATACACAATGACAATGCAGTTCGAAGAAGAAAAGCTTGATGTTTTACTCCTTGCGGTCAGTAATTGGGTTCAGAACATCAGTTGGTTATAAAAGCCACAGCTTTCCGTCAAGTCCATTACCTCCATTCAACAAAGCAGCACGCTGCAATTATCAAACAAGCATTAACAGCTGAGTCGTACCTTATGGAGGTCTCAATAATTAGATGACAATAGTTATTATGAAAGAAGCTTGACTCCCTCTAAACTTTTTTTGTATTAAGATATAGAGGTCTTTATTCTTGATTTTTTATTGTAAATATTACATTTAGCAAAAGACGTGAATGATCAAACCCAATACTCTTCTGTTCTTAAAAAAGACTCTTGTCCTTTGTACATCTTATGATGAGCTTGGTTGCAAAGGCCACATTCTGAAAGGTTAAAGGATTTTGGTAGCCACGTGTGGCTGAATTTATATGAAAGATCTCCTGGTGAAGGAGATGACCATGCCGGCTTCTTAAGTCCATTTTCCTGCACTTATCGTTCAACAGGTTCACCAATTAAAGAGGAGAAGGCTTTGATGGCCCCCCAACAGAATGGACATAGCAAGCCCCTACGCTGCGGACACATATAAGAATTCAAAGAGCACAGCACACAAAAGGCCAACGTCTCCAAATTCTAAACATCCCCTGACCTACTGTTTAACTTTAAAAGGCCCTCTTTTGCCAGAAAGTGCAAAAAAAAACACGAGCTCTTGATTTTATTTTTACATTTGTTTCAGAGACTCATCAGATAAAAACAGCAAGGGGGATGTTTAAGAAATGCCAACGCATCTTAAAGCGACTTGCATCTTCAGGTACCTGACCTGCTGGGGGGCGTGGATTCGTTCTGCAGCACGGCGTGTCCCTCACTATTGATAACGATTCCTATTGTGTCCGGCCACAATATACTGAAGCACAACAGGGCATTGAAATCACACAATTACGTTTGTCAGATGTGATGAGAAGCAGGAAATCAATGTTCAATTTGAGGGTAATAATATGCTCCCTAGAGTTCATTGTTGCTCCAATAATATTATATTTTTTTTAATCTGTCTTTCACCTTGTATCCTGAAAGCTTTTTCCAAGCTGAAATTCAATCGTAGAATTACTTGATTGGGGGAAATTGTGTACAACATTATTGCAGTCTAATGGTGGGGGGTTTTTTTTGGTTCTTTTTGTCATTATTTCAAAATAAATTATGAGACAAACTAGATATAGGGTTTCCTAATGGACAAGGAGGACCCATTGTGGAAGAAGGGGCAGATGACTTTGAAACTATTACCATTGTTTTAGAGAATTCTC